CCTCTCCCCCCCTTGGCTATTGGGAGCCACCTCGCAGGGGGGTGAGCCACCCCCCGCGAGGTGGGGACCAATAGCCCCCCCCCCCTTGGCTTTTCGGAGTCATGGTGGACTCGCAGCCTGTTTACGATATTGTGAGTAGTATCGTCTCCCTCTCTGGAAATAACGAACTGTTTCACAGACGGGTGTACACTCTCAGTGTATTGCTCAGGGAGCAGTAATATAATTAATTATTAAACATAAAGGATCGATTTTATTAATTATCAATAATACTATCAATTAATAGTTTACCATTAATTGTTAATAATTGTTTTCAATAGATTATGTTCTACTCCAAAAATTTTTAATATTAATATCATTTATCAATATTAATATTTCTTAATAATAATTATTATTTTTTGCCAATATCAGTATTGATTTAAGTAACAGTAATTGTTTATATCATTATTTTATTAGTAATTGTGTTAATATTATTAATTATTAATACTCATCATTAACATTTTTAACCAGTATTAATTTTAGTATCTTAATTGTGATTTTTAATTTCTATGATTAATATTAATTTTCATATTTATTAATATTATTAATTAATAGACTTTTTCGTGATATCCGCCCCGGAGAGGATGATATTACTCCCAGTATCGCAGAAAGTGTACACTCCTCTATGATGTTATTCCTTGTAGCCAGGGGGTAGAAGATATTATTGAAACTACCGCAGTGTGTGTATGTCCCATCGGACATCTTGTTCCTTCTTTCTAGGGTGGGAGAGGATATGACTCCCAATATCACAGTGGGAGTGGACCTCCACCGTGATATTTTCCCTAACATCCAAAGGTGGAGAGGGTGATGTTTCTTCTGATTTCGCAGAGGTTGTACACCACCCCTGTTATATGTTTCCTAATATCCAGATGGCGAGAGGATGACATCAGTCTCAATATTGCAGGAGGTGTACACTCCCTGGTGATATTGTTCCTAATATCCAGGGATGGAGAGGATGATATCACTCCCAATAAAGCAGGGGGTGTACTCCCCTTCTGTTACATTGTTCCTAATAGCCAGCCGGGGAGAGGGAGATATTACCGCCAATATCGCAGGGGTGTACACCCCCTTGTGATATTGTTCCTTATATCCTGGGAGGGAGACGATGATACTAGTGGCAATATCGCAGGGGTTGTACACACCCACTGTGCTATTGTTCCGAATAACACGATATGACTCCCAATATCACAGGAGGGTACATCCTCCTGTGATATTCTTTCTTATATTCAGGGGGAGAGGATGATATGACTCCCAATATCCCAGGGGTTGTACACACCTCCTGCGATATTGTTCCTAATATCCCGAAGGGGAGAGCATAATATTACTCTCAATATCTGTACACCTCCTTTGTAATATTTTTCTTAATATCCATGATAGGAGAGGATGATAAGACTCCCAATATGGCAAGAAGTGTACAGCCGCCTGTGATATACTTCCTTACATCCAGGTAGGGAGAGGATGATGTTACTGCCCATATCGTACAAAGTGTAAAACCCCTTCGATATTTTGCCTACAATCCTGAGGGGAGAGGATGATATTACTCCCAATATCGAAGAAGGCGTACACCCCCCTGGGACACTACGCCCAATATTCACGTTGGGAGACGATGACAATATGCCCAATATCGCAGGGGATGTACACCCACCCTAGCATATTGTTCCTTATATCGAGAGTGGGAGAAGATGCTATTACTCCCAATAATGCAGGGGCTGTGGCTGTACACCCCTCCTGTGATATTGTTTCTTATATCCAGGAAAGGAGAAGATGGTATTACTACCAATATTGAAGAGATATACAACTCCCGTGGGATATTGTTCTAAAAGATACAGGTTGAAAGAGGTTGACATTCCATCCAATATAACAAGGGGTGTACACCCCGCCTGTGATATGAATTATAAAACCTAGAAGAAGAGAGAATGACATTGCTTCCAAAAACACACGGGGTGTACACCCACCCTGTGATATTGTTCCTGTCATCTAAAGAAAGAGATGATGATACTACTCCCACTACCGGAGAAGGTACACACCCCCCTGTGATATTGTTCCTCATAACTTGTAGGGGAGAGCATCATATTACTTCCAATGACGGTGGCTTGACACCCAGTCTGTGATATTGGTTCTGCACACCAACTCTGTGCCCCTCGTTTCCCATGCGTTCTCTCCACACTGTTGGAACCTCGGGGGAGGCTTTGTCTTTGGTTACAGATGAAGAGACGAGGGGTCTGAGAGGTTAAGCAAGTTTGTTACTGGAAAAGGGTACCGATCCAGACCCCAAGAGAGGTTTCTTGGATCTCATAGAAGAAAGAATTCGGGGCAAGGCCATAAAGTGAAAGCACCTTTATTAGGAAAGAAAAGGAATAAAAGAATGGCTACTCTGGCCGGGCACAGAAGCTCACTCCTGTAATCCTAGAACTTTGGGATGCCGGGGCAGGTGGATCACCTGAGGTGAGAAGTTCGAGACCAGCCTGGTCCAACATGGCAAAACCCTGTCTCCACTAAAATACAAAACATTAACTGGGTGTGGTGGCAGGTGCCTGTAATCCCAGCTACTAGGAAGGCTGAGGCAGGAGAATCGCTTGAACCCACGAGGCGG